AAGGCAGTGGTATCAGAGTTTCAACAAATAATTTGTCTAATCAGGCAGGAGTGAAGTAGGATGCAGGGACAAAGGATCTTTTTGACTAGACCTGCTTAGTGTAGGGTAAAGATACCTGCACTATCTTCAGTCCTAAAAGATAGCCTTGCAAGAGTAACATTATCTGAGAATTGGGAAAACTTGGCTTATGCAAAGTTAACTGCTGCTACTACTTCTGCTGGCTTTGATACCAGCTTGGGGTGGAGAATATCACCCAGGAGAGGTCATGAGTGTGATGTGCTTAGATGGAATCCTGTCTGAACAAATATGAGCTTCTCTTGAGATACTTGCTGAAGCTTTAGCAGCTAGGCAGTGTCTGGTCGGGAAATCTTACTATTTTTGAGTAGAAAGTTCATAGTGCAAAAGAAAATCTGGAAGACAAGGTGGGTCCAAATCTTAATGGGTGGTACGCATACGTGTTGGGTACCTTGCGGACAGAAGAACTGGCCTATTTCAGCATCAGATATGTTACTGCAGCCCTGAACACAAAAGCTGTAGTGTTGACGTGCTCAGTGTTGTGCTGCAGACTGTGTTCTCCCACCAAAGCAACAAGGGAACTTTGAGGGTGCTGTTTTTCAAGACTGTCATTGGTGGGTTTTATGTCTTAATAATACTGAGGATGACATCATTAAACAGGATGGCATCTCGGCTCTTTAGGAGAACATTTTTGCTAATTCACAAGATATTTTAACCTACATAGAGTTGGTTGAACGCATAAGCAAGTAAAATAGTATTTTCTGACAGTTGCCAAATCCCACTGTTATGTGATAAAACCCGCAAGATTTTTGTCACAAGTGGGACTGAAGGATCTATTCCCAGGTATGTTCGGTAAAAAATAGAAAGGAAGCAACAAAACCCATTGGAACAGAATGAAACTTCAGTTGATTGTAGTCTTTCTATAAGAATAGATTTTACTACAAACATCTTTCTGTTAATGTGGGTAACATGAATGTAATTTGGGTCTATCTGTCTATGTGGTAAACTTTACAATATTCTGCATTATTCTTTATATTGCAAACTCTAACATAGTTTTTGTTGTCTTTACAAACAAGACTATAATAATTTCTATTCAAGATTCACATAGTTCACCTAGAAGGTCAGCAGTCAGCATGAGATAGCAGAATTTTGTTGGCTGGACCACTGTCTGGTGAGTCTGCTCTAGTGTTTCCAAGCCAGTCCCATCTGACATGGAAGGCAGCGGTAACTCAGAAATCGGTTGCAATGTCAGATTGTGCCTGTGAACAGTGAGAATAATTCTTCCATTCTCTCCTTCATTAACCTCTTCTTGCATGCTTCCACTCATCATGCCTTCAAACCTCTTACCACCATCTCTGGTGCTGGCCCCTAAATCCAACCTCTTCCCCGCCTATTCCTGAGCATAGCCAGGGGTTGCCATGATTGCCTGTTGATCTGTGGCTCAGAAGGATCTCCATTCATGTGGGGTGTAGATCCTACCTGCTTTCTACCTGCAAGTATTGCCTCTGCTGCCAGTGGTGCATGTTGTGTAGTTTAGGATCTCCTCACAGGTGAAAGCTGTAAGAATCTTAATGGAATGATCTTTCAGCTGATTTACATCTGGCACAGGAGACTGTAGCGCTCCTAAATTTTAAGTCCATCTAATCTGACAGTTTGTGATCTCATCACCCTTAGCAGTGCTTAGTTCTGCTATGGAGTCTGTGTATTTGACCCCATGCCTCAGGTGGCAAATGAAGTAACTAGATTCCCAATTATGGCACGTCACCTTGGTAATTTTGGGTTTCATGTGTGCCTCCCTGTACTGAGAGAAAAATCTTCCAGGATTTTTATTTATCGCCTATTCAAGGATAGGTGGTACACTTAGCCAAAGGGAATTTCTATGGCTTTTGGATATTCTGATAGGAGTACTAACTTCTTTAGAGTTAAAAGAAGAAAGCTCAGAAAATATTGCTAGATGTCAAGTTAATCTTTTGAAGTGTTTTTTCTCTTCCCTGAATTCCCAGTATCAGAACACATCTTCTAAGGTACAGGGTTCTTGTCAGCCTGCGTGTCCTACCACTGCACTGTTTTTCTGCAAGAGCCATAGTTACCTGTAGTGCATCATCAAGACCACAATGGTGCTATCAGAGACCATTTTTAACACTTTTATTGTCCTAAATTTCTGATTTTATTGCCCATTCTTTCCCTTTAGCCTCTTTGTTTTCCATTTTTCAATAAAACTTGCTTTTTTCCTCAGTTAATTTAAAAAAAAGCGTGTCAGAATAATGCTGTGTGTCACCTATGTTACCCCTGAAAGGAAAACTTGCAAACAGAAATTTGGAGCACCTTGACCAGCCAAGCAACTTAGCTTATTCTCTGACTGCTGAACTTGGCTCTGTGAGTTTTGTGCTGGTGCCCCATGCTCCCCAACGCATTGATGTTAGTATCCAGTTGGGATGAAAGTACTGTTTTCACCAGGCATTTTGCTAGGCAGTTCAAGAAAGAAGCTATCCTTCTTGATGGTAACAGCGTATAATCCACGTGTTGGAGTGCTTCCTTTTGCTTATAAGTGACTTGGCTTTATGGTATTAATAGAAACACCATTTTCAAGAATTTAGGCGTAAACATAATGGTCCAGTGTTTTTATTTTTTCTACTAAACTAAATGCAGAGAATTAAAGTAAATTTATTCCATGTGTGTTTTTATTGCTTGGCTTTTATGTGTTTAAGATGGCAATCTAGCCAGAAGTAGCAGTCTGTGGCTTGTTTGTTTCCTAATTTTCAGTAACAGTAAGCTCATAATTGGCAATCCTGACTTGTATTTCTGCCTTGCATTGACTTGTTGTGTGTTTTCAGTTTGTGTATGACCTTTCTGTCCCATTTTCTTCCCTGATGAGAGTGACACTGGTAGTAGGATCTGTATTGCAGAAACAGTACAATTTATTACTGTTTTCTTAGGAAAAAAAGGAAAAATAAATGAAAATACTTATATGCCACTTGTGTATATTTCATGATTGTTTTTTAATTTCAAAATTTTAAAATTAATTGAAACAGGTTACAAAATACGAGCATGGGAATGCCTTCTGATATAAGCCTAACATAACGAAAAATTTCCTTTGAACTTAAATTGTGAGCTTTGTTTCTTTTACTAATAAATAGCCAGATAACTGGGGGAATGGGGTATTTTAAAAAATCATATTCTGAAGTAGCTGGTGAAAAGTGACACAAGAATTTCATTTGATGCCATTGGCAACAGTACTTGCTTCTTCAGTGGTTGTTAGGAAGGGAAGCAGAAGGATGTCTGGTCTTACACCTATAGTTGTCTTAGACTGTGAACACTACTCCTTCAAGTCTCTGCGCTATTTATCTTTGTCAAAACCTTTCCAAACTGTTGAAAGCTAGGGAAGCAAGGGCTGCTTTAAAAAACCGATTAAATTTCTTAAAAGCTGTTTTAGTCCTTCCAGCATGCGTAATATAAAATAAATCTGCATTATCTTGTAGCATTGCATTGGAACAGGCTGCCAGAGAGGTGGGGGAGTCATCATCTCTGGAGGCGTTCAAAAACCATGTAGACGTGGCACTTCAGGACATGGTTTAGTAGGCATGGTGGTGTTGGGTTGACGGTTGGGCTTGATGATCTTTGAGGTCTTTTCCAACCTTAATGATTCCATGATATGTGCACCTACGTATGCACATGCAGGTATTTGTGCTTAAGTATGATGATGTGGATACATTTTTTTGTGTATAAATGGTTTTATGTTTGTATACTGCATATAGTGTGTATGCTTCAAAGTACAATGTGCCTCCATTCACATAGCTTAATTTTTTTAAGGAGAAGTGTCTTGGAGGTCATGCCTTGTTTTGATATGAAACTCTTACGTTTACTTATGAGACTGTGAGGGCTGGGTGTTCCAACCAGTTAACTAGAAGTTTTGGATATTTTTCAAGTAACTTCCTGGTGACCCTTTCCAAATAGGGTCAAGTTCAGAGCTCCAGTGTGGACTAGGGTGTCTCTTTTGGTTTTGTTAGGAAGTTGTTTTCTGTTTAGAAATGATTAAAAAAAAAAAAAAGTGAAATTTGTCTTACTTCTGTGTGGCTATGTGTTAATAAGTCACTCTAAGCTCTTGTTGTATTACTGGAAGGGAATGGTCCTTTCTAGAACATGTCATCCTAAATTAAATGCCTGGAATAACTGAATAAATCACTCCTTCAAAGTTCCTATTTCTCTGAATTGACTATGAAGCGAGTATAATGGATGACTTGCCAAGATACCTTTAGTTCTGTCCTCTTAAGCCCTTCCACTTCTTAATTTTTACTTTTGCTTTAAAGTTATCTCAGGGAAATGAGTAGAATCATTCCTCCCTCCTGCCCCCACACTTATTGTTTTTAGGATGGAACTATTACGAGTTGACTATAGTCATCTAAATATATTGCAGTAGGAAAGTAATTGCAGAGCCCTTGCGGGAGCATAATAATCAAACATTAGCGAGTAAATAAACAACATAGAAAACATATGATGTCTAAATGGCCTCTGAGATAACCCGATAGTCTGCAAGACATTCTTTGGTGGCTTTCAACCCATTACTAAATTAAGCCTTTCTCAAATCAGACCGTGATGGTAATGTCAAAATCACCTACACTTGTTTCTTTTGACTTTCAGGTAGTTTGAAGTAAATATACCCAGCTATTTTGTGGCTCCAAACTACAGTTATGCCGGGAAGTTGATCCTGCAGCTGCTTGTGGATGTAGTTTGAAGGCCTGCAGTGTGCCAGCGAGCATCAGCCAGGACACAAGGGCATTTAGTCACCAGGAAAATGACTGGCTTTCTTCAGTAAGAAACAAAGAAGAAACCTTTATTTCTTGCGTAGCTGGAAGGCAATTCAATACAATCTTGACAGCTGGTTAACTTAAAGAAGCATTTTTCAAAATACCTCTTGACTGTGTGGATCTTGTAACTCTGACACAAACGTGCCTTTGGACTTGTGCAAATAAATCATTGGAAGAACTGATTGGGCAAAGCAGTCATTGAAAGAGAGGCTGTTGAAGAATCATGACGAAGCACTTGGAGATCATCAATTTGTCATTTTTGCTGGAACATGAAAGGGAGACAATATTGGGAGTATTGAAGAGAGATGAGTATCTGAAAAAAGTTGAAGATAAAAGGATAAGGTAACCCTTTTCATTATTGTCCGTAGTATAGATATTTTTGTGGTACCCAGTGAAGATATTCTAGATGCCTCAGGAGAAGGATGAGTGTTGAGAGAGGTAGCACAGTTAATTATAAGTTGAAATGTGTTAAAAAGAAAATTGCTTGCTAGTGTGGCCCTCTAAACAAAAGACTGTGTTTATTGCTTCAAGGCAGAAGAGTAACAAAGATAACAAGTGCAAAAATACACAGCAGTGGTTTTTAAATTTCAGATTCTGTAGATTTTGCCCTGTTTGGCTGAATTTTCCCCCTGTGAATGGAAGTCTTTTGTAAGGCTCTTGAACTTTCTTTCTCTGAGAGGAGCTGTATGCTTTGTGCCTTCGGAGCTGACTGTGGGAGGGGAAGTTTGGAAGGTGACACGGGGAGATAAAGTAGGTGTCTGCCTCTGTATGGGAGCCCATACAACATGGGGCAAATGTGAGATAGTGGCCTTTTTCTTTCTGTTGCGGTACTTACAGAATAGGGAGGACGAGGGACACTTCATTTTTCAAATGGCTTAGATTTACTAATAAATAAATAAAACTGAAAATCTCAGGTGTGGATCTCAAAAGTCAATGATGGGAGAAGTAGAGCCTCGGGGTATTAATAGAGTCCATGTGTTCTTTTCTGAGGACAAAAGGTAAAAATCAAAGTTCAGAGAACAATGTGTGGAGGCAGGCTGAGAGTCAGCTATTTTAGATTACTCAAATTAAGTTAGTTCAGCTAAGTAGCAGTTCTGCAAAGGTCCGTATGTTTTTTTCCAGTACGTTGTTGCCGTTTCCTCTCACTTCTCCCCACTGCCCTTTTAAACTTTTATAGAGTGCTGGTTCTGAGAAGCAGGCTTAGCGTGGATGTGTGCAGCACTTGGTGCTGGCGAGGCTGCTGAGCGTAAGGGATGACACAGGGAAGATTTTCAGCCTTTGCTGATTTCTGTCCATATATTCCAAGGCCAGGCTGCATTGTTCTTCCCTTTGATTTGCTAAAAAGCATTTTAGACATTGTGTGTTGCGGAGATGTACATTCAGCACCTGCTGTGGCTTCTTTTGTATAAAACTACTATTTGGAAATCCATGTGCAGTTAGCCACCGGTTTTGGAAGTCTTTCTACCTTGAGAGAACCAAGTTGAAGTGCAATTCCCCCATTTAACTGGGGAAATGTAGTGGCTCATCTAAATGGAGTGGGCTAAAACTGGTTGCTGCTTCTGCTGCAAGACTGGAAGGAAAGGTGTTTCTTTATGGTGGTGTGGGCAAATCAGTCATTTCATCGCCTTCATGGTTTGTCAGATGAAGAAGAAAACAGATCACAAGAAAACAGATGGAGCACTGTTTGTTCCAGGCATTGTGCTCTATTTTGTAATAGGATAAGCATTTCAAAGTAAGTATTTCAGTTTTCTAAGGTGGTGGCCTTGGGAACGTGTGACGTGCCCATGGTCATCAATCACAGGCATCGGTATGAAGTGCAGCAGTGTATCAGATCAGTAGCTTCTCAAACCCCCAGAAAGCTTTTTTTTTTTACTATTGCTGTTTCCCAGTCTCAAGTGGAAAGTTGAAACTCCTGAGGTTTTGTGGGGGGTTCTATGTTTGCTTGGTTTGGGGTTTTTTGTTGTTGTTGTTTTTTAATGTCTTAAAACCCCTAAGTTTTTGCTTTTTTTGGCACTACTGGAAGTCACTTTGCCAAACCTACTGAGGTTGAGAACCCAAGGCACCTCTGGAGGATGCGATTCAGTAAAGCGACAGGTGGTATTGGCTTATCTGTGTTTTGGTACCAATGGAAAGAGCACCTTAAGAAAAGGCTGAAAACAAAGTTAATCTGAAATATAATGCTAATTAGGATAACTAATGATGCAATGTGATGCTTATGCATACTTCTAGTACCTGTATATGAACCAATTTGGTTTAGATTCAGAGTATAGTCTCATGACAGTTCTCCAAATATACTGTGCCTGGTAATGGTGGAATCTAGTCTATAAAAGACTTCCAAGATATGCAAACTATAAAGAACTGGGTGGGTAACTGCTTCCTAGGAGACTTCATAATTTTTCTTTCTGAATACAGCTTGGCAAAGATATCTTTAATTATGGCTTATAAATATACTTCAGAGGAACATTTGTTGTCTTTGGAATTCCATTTGGTGCAATCTGTTGTAAATGTTATTGAAGTACTTTGCAGGAGAACAAGTCCCTTTGTATTTATTTTCAAGGCATTTTTCATTCTGGCAAGATGCTTACTTGCACATTGTACTGAAGAGTTTTTATTAGTCTGTTCCACTCTTTCTGGATCTATCTTGATAATTGTTTTTTCTGTTCCTATTAGTCTTCAAAAGCCATTGTAACTTGAAAGGATCTTTCTATTCAGCATGAAAGCAATAGTAAATGTAGGAGGATGTCCTAATAATGAAATTGTTAAGAGATATTTTCGCTATCACTGCTTGTACTTGTGTTCTGGAGTACAGGTGGCTGTTCTTGTATTTTTACTTGATGTACAAATATTTCACCTACATGTGAGAGAAACACAGAAGACGGCAAGTACTCTTTTTGTGATCTAGTTTTGACAATACAAATAAGCAACCTGCTTAATAAATATTAGGATTTATGTTCTTAATTTTGCGTGCATCTTGTGTGACTGGAAATTATCTTTAAATACTGATTTAAAGCTGTTAATAGATTACTTGTACAAATAACCTATAGTGATCTAAACATTGCTCTACGATGCATTTGATGTCATTTGGCCATCATGATTGTTTTCAAGTGCTAAGATTATTTGGGTGAAATAATTCAATTACATAGAGCTAAAATAGCTAAAAATAGTGAACTTGACCATACTGAGGGTGAAAAAGTAGGAGTTTTTTAATATGTGAGTTGCTGGGACAAACTTGAATCCAGATAATGTCAGTCAAGACATTCTGAACTGAATGTTTTGGACTGAAACGTATCTTTTTCCTTATTTGCCTATCCTTTTACTATTTTTAAATAGTTTTGTTCTTTCAAGACCCTTTTTATGAAAACCCGTATCATGTTTAATGTGTAGTGTCACGAGTTATGAGATCAATACTAAATCAAAAGAATGTATTTGCCGAAAGGGGGGTGTACCAGGTACTAGGTGCGTTTCATCTAACTGTTGTTGGTTTGTTTCTGTTCCGACAGAACAGAATGCAGCCCCACTGCATCCTCCCCAGCTGTGGTATTACACAGGGAACTGGGCCTGATGGTCATAGCATTTTGTGTTTGGAGCTACCTCATCATCTCAATATTATTATGCTACCATGTAAGAAACACACGTGACACACTTACTGCTAATGTACGTTGCTTTCTTACCTTGACTATTTTCCTAGACAGCATTTAAAATACAAAGGTTCTTTTCATTCTTCACGAAGCAAAGCTGTGAATACCATGCTTTTAGAAGAGGAGATTCTAGCCTAATAATTGCTGAACTGAGAAAATAAAAAGGAACATGGCAATTTCTTCCACGGATAAGGCTTTATTGGGTTATTATTTGAATTATTCCCTCTGCACTGAGGTTGCCAGAAGTTGTGTAAGAATCGCACCAGCCCCAGATCTGTACTGACAAGGAAAGAGTCAACTAAAATGGCATCTTCTTAGCAGTCTGAAGAGATGCACAGAAGCAATTTAGGGTATTAGCTTCATTACAAGATAGAAGAAACTGTTAGCATGGATACCACCATGTGGTAACTACAGGCAAGTACTTTAGGAAAAAAAAATTAAGTCTGAGTAATGGGAATTGACTTATCTGCTGAGTATACATTTGGACTTGTTGATAAGCACAAAACGATTGCAAGATAGTATATAGTGTGGTTAATAGTCTGTGTTTTTGCAAAACTGCCTATAAATATTTGAAGGAAGAGTCCTTCTGTTAAAGCATATTGCTCATCCATACGTGTATGGGAAGTTAGGAGGTTGCTTGTCTGGCAGCTATCTCATTTGTCAAGTGAATTCAACACATTGTTATTCTTTGAACCAGAGAATTTTCCATCAAAAGTAGTTACTATTGCAGTACTCTAAGGGTAGAGATGCCTGTTTTGCTCTTCAGTGTTCTTCGAGAATGAATATCCTCCGTTGGTGAAATAATTTCTGATGGTGATTAATTCTCATACTCTGGGTACAATTGATTTTATCAAAGACTAGTAAGAAACCAACAAACAATTTGCTTTTTTTTTTTTTTTTTTTTTTTTTTTTTTTTTTAAATCCTATTCTCAGTTTTTAATTGAGAGGATGAGGGAGTTACTAAGAAAAAGGTTCATCTGTGGAAGTTTGTCATCATTACAGTGTCCAGTGTCATTTTGGTTCCTGTGCCTCCTTTCCTTCTGTTCAGTGGCCTCCATTCTGCCATTCATTATGCCAGTTTTCTTTTCCTTTGCAAATTCATTCTTTGCCTTTCCCTGTTGCCTTTCATTGTCACCAGTATACCTCCATACTTGGATATTCTTAAGACAGTTTTTATCATACAGATCTGTTACATAAGCAAAATGTGAAAATCTGTGCTTATAAAATAGGAACCTAAAAAATGCCTCAGATACTCAAATGGCTAGATTTTACCATGCAAGATCTCAATGGAAATTAGTAACAGCCCATCCTTTTGTGAATTGTCAATAATATTTACTGTTACTTTCCACATATTGTGTCAGACAGTGGAGGGAATCTGGTTGAATTTGGAGGAGGTACTGGGAATCAGTCTAGGGAGGAAATGTTTTTTTTATCCCTCAGTCTCCAGAAGTATGTTGATACCAGTTCCTGCACAGAAAAATTCTCTAGTATCTAAGTTAACAGCTGCACAGCTTCAGAAGGAAGATGTGTCAACTCATCTGTGCAGAAAACAGAACTGTCTTAAGAACAGGTGCAAGACTGGAGGAATTTCATAGATTTAAACT